ATGGTTTGCGCTCATTTCACTGATTTTGGTTTTTTGTTAGCTGTGGCAATGATGTTACTTCAAACAAGCTCCACATTTCATTGTTTGGGGGAAAAAGTTAAGAAGACAAAATGGACAAATAATGATACTTCATCAGAAATTAATAGGCAATGATCTCAGGTGTGGGCAGTTTTTTGTGAAATAGTATTAATTCGGTTCAAAACCGAAACCGATCCGAATTTCGGTTGGGCCGAATATTCGGATGAAGGAAAAAAAATCTGGATCTGGATGAGAGTTTTGAGAATTCGAAAAATTCGGATTGGATACGAATTGAGCTTAAAACCGATCCGAACCGAATATGCCCAGCCCTAATAAGATTTGTATTACACATAAACATGTGAAATTTTGAATGGGAGTCTTGTGACTCTGTGATATGACCAATGTAAGTCTATGTCCTCAGGACCACAACCTTCTAAGGAGTTAACCACCATTTTTTCGTTGTTCATTATATACGAGAAGAAAAAAAAATCATTTGTTTTGCTGTGCCCATTTGTTACTTTGAGAATTTGCTACTAGTTTTCTCTTTTGAGCAAGATTGTGTTTTGCAATGGCTTAGAATTTTTATTTTACTAAGTTTTTTATCAGCTGACGTTACATTTGTGAATCCAGTGCTGCAACATTTATAATATCTAAAGCTCTAGTCGATAATTGTGCTATTTATCTAACCATATGGTTTGGTTGTCTCTTATTTGTGACAAAATAAGTAAAAATTTGATTAATGTTAAATATCATGAGAACATAGAATGTCTGTCAAATCTCATGATCAGCAAGAACATGACATGTATTCTATGTTAACTTTAACTGGTACATGTTAACTTTTATAATTATATGTTAACTCTCCTCGTAAAATGTTAACTTTCAGCTGAACATGTTAATGTTTATCATAATATGTTAACTTTCTTCATAACATGCTAACTTTTTCTCAGAATGATTATTTTTTCTCATCTTATGAATTTGTTGTGTTTTGAGAGAAGTTTGTTTTTGGAATGGATAGGCATACACCAATGAACTGGAGAACAAGATCTCACGACTTGAAGAAGAGAACGATATTATATTCTACGTCGCCACCAGAACCAAAGCATCAACTTCGACGATCAAACTCAGCTTCTTTCTAAAGATTGCCCGTATACTAAAATTTGTAGATTTGCATGAAGATTGGAGTGGTTTTTGTAAGATATTTGTATAAGAAAACATGTCTGAACTTGTGAGAACTTATATATCAATGATAAATCATCTTGAGGGACTTTCAGTCTTTCAAACACATCAAATTTTAGTTCAAAAAAACTTGTTATGAAGAAAGTTAACATATTAGTATGAAAGTTAACATGTAACAGTGAAAGTTAACATATTATGATGAAAGTTAACTTGTTCAACTGAAAGTTAACATGTTATGATAAGAGTTAACATATAATGATGAAAGTTAACATATAACAATTAAAGTTAACATATTAAGATGAAAGTTAACATCTTCGGATTAAAGTTAACATGTTATGAAGAAAGTTGACATGTTCACGTGAAAGATAACTTATTCAGCTGAAAGATAACATAGTAAAAAAAAAACAAAAAAAGATAAGCTGCTTTTAAAACTTCTTATAGGTGATATTGCTTGAGTACACAATATGATTATTCTTACAAATTAACAGATTACAACTTCGATGAAACACAAACAAACTTGCAAGATCTGATTACATCCCTATCATCGATTCTAGGTGTAGGAGGAGATGAGTGAGTTAGTGATGAACATGTCGGAATCGAGGTTGATTTTCACCATCAATACAATCAAACAATCAAACTAAATCGAACAGGAGTTGGGTAGCATCCAAATAACCACTTTTGGTATATTAGCTTCAAATATCACTCAACACAAGAAACAACCCAATACAATCAAACGAAATCAACAAGGCAAATCAACAACCTGACAAAATAAAAAAAGGTTGATTTTCACCATCAATTTGATGAAGGAAAGCAGCAAAACCCAATAACAGTAACCAAAGCATTCGACAAATAAGATAACACATCAAGAGAGAGATGTCACCTAAATTAGATCAAGCTTTGTGCCTGAGACGCTTCCTCGGCTTCTTTAGCTTGTGCTTGTTCATCTTCCTCTTCCTCTTCTTCTTCTTCGCACTATCAGCCCACATTGCTGGACCTCCGCCATCATCATGGTCGTCATCGGAGCCTATATTTGTGTCGTATAGGCCGAGCCCATGAAGAGAAATTGGGTCCAGAGTAAAGCAATGGGGGAAAAGATTGGTAAAATATTTTGGGGTCTGGATTTGGGTTTGAGTCAGGGTTTTGGTGAAGGAACGAGGAAAATGGGGGATTTGAGAGATGAGTTTTGTTGAGGGATGTGAGGAGTCTAAATGGAGGAGAGGTGAATGATTATTTTCACTTTCTTGTCGCTCCGCCACTGTTGGCCGCCTCGCTCTTTTCCTCAGTTACCTCTGTGGTGGCTGATGCTGATGCTGGAGCTGCGACCTCCTCTGATGATGGGGCAACGATTTCTGACGTCTCTGTGGCTGTAACCTCCACCGTCGATGTGGCCTCCACCGTTTCTGGTGCCGAAGCGACAACCTCCTCCAAGACCTCATAGGAGAAGAAGAAGAAGAAAATGGGAAGGGGTATTTTCCGGAGCTTTTGTGATTAAATCCTGAGATAGTGTGAAAAGGGGCCTAATTACATTTTTTTTAGTTTTTGGGGTTAAAGGAAATAAGAAAAACATTGAGGGGTTGGGTCACAACAGCTTATATTTTTTGGGGCCTAGACACATTTTCCCCAATATTTTAAAGAAGGATATTCTTTTATGTGACGGGCCAGATAACATTTGCAAGTATTTGAAAAGAATTTAAAGAAGGATATTCTTTTATGTAACGGGCCAAGTAACACAACGATTATACATCTTGTCGCCTACAACTACAAGCTGAACGTTATGCATCTTCAAGCAAAGGAGGCTAAAATTCTCAACTAGAATAAATTCACATTAGACATTAATTAATAGAAATTTGGATAAGTGACATGTTATCTCTCTTCTCACATTCTTTTAGGGGCTGTTTGGTTCAAATGCTAAAATTTTAGAAGTTTTAATTTCATATGGAATTTGAAATCAGCTGAACGTTATGCATCTTCAAGCGAAGGAGGCTAAAATTCTCAAATTTTAGAAGTTTTAATTTCATATGGAATTTGAAATCAGCTGAACGTTATGCATCTTCAAGCGAATGAGGCTAAAATTCTCGTCAACTAGAAAAATTCACATTAGACATTAATTAATAGAAATTTGGATAAGTGACATGTTATTTGTCTTCTCACATTCTTTAAGGGGCTGTTTGGTTCAAATGTTAAAATTTTAGGATTTGTAATTTCATATGGAATTTGAAATCTATAGTTTTTTTTTATAAATGTCTTGGGATTTCTAATATTTTGTTGGTTTAACATTATTATAGAAAAGTAAATCTTAAAATTTATAATATTTTGTTTGGTTCAAACTCAAGATTATAAGATAACAAATTATAGAACTTGTAATTTATTGTTGAACCAAATAAATTTTAAGATTTAAAAAAAAAAGATGGTGAATAAGCTTATCTTGTTGAGGTTACCTCTCGCAAGAGAATAATACAATTGTATAGCAATTAAAGTAACCATGTCTATTAAAATTTAAACTCCAATGATCATAAATGGTCATATTAAAGAGCTAAAACCGAAACATGCAATTAGGAAGTTCAAATCAGCAACCAGCAAGAAAGCTCAAAAATTTGACATGCATCAAGCTCAAGCTCAACCATAACCCAACAAGCTCAAACAAAAACCCAAGCAAGCAACAAGCTAAAACCTAAGACTTGTATAAAGCTTTCAAACAAGAAAGAATCTAAAAAATCTAGAATATTAAAGATGTCTATGATCTTGCAGTGAGGGCTTAGGTATAAGCATAATATTGAAAACATGAGTTGGTCTTATCTAATAATGAACTTGCAATGTAGATTGCGATCACATAAAATGTTGTCTCAATTAATAACTGCAAATGCTATGTAGATTGCATTCTCATCCAACATTGCCCTACCTAAACATTTCAAAAACATTGTAGATTGCATTCTTATAACAAGATCGCCATCATTACCCAATTAACTAAACCCCATTATCAATTAAAATTCTCTTAAAAGTATGGTATAGAATAACCGTATCAATACGTATCTCAAAATGAACATATGAACGTAAAATTTCTAATTTTATGCATGATACATATAAAAGTGATCATAGTTGCTGTTGAGGAATTAGTTTTCCACTAGAAGAACATGATACAAAATTCAAACTAGTAAATAAATCCATAAGAAAATGTTATTGTGGCAGGGAATTTCAAACCAGTAAGTATAACAATGTGATTGTCGGTCTGAACAGCACAATGGAGGATTTGTTGGCGTCGTTGAACAAACTTCAGAGCATGTTTGGGTTTTAGGGAAAAAAGATAATAGTTTAGGCATTTCCTCATATCATAAATACCTGATCAGCTGAACAAGTAGTAAGCTAAAGAAAAATTTAGTAACTTACCCCCGTATTGAAAAAATATCTCGTGTCTTAAAAACAATTAGGATCTAACAATAACTGAAAAAAAATGTCTTGGGTCTAAAAATGATTTTCGAATTGGATCTAAAAATAGATAGATAAAAAAATTTGAGTAAATCGTTTTTCATTGGTTTATTAGTTAAAACAACCTTTTAGAAAGTGAGGGAGTTTAGAAATAAATGATTAAAACTTTTTCTCATTGGGCTTTAGGCAAAAACACTCATTCGGAACCTGGCGATTTTGAAACAAATGGGAGCAAAGCTCTCTTTTTTTGGCGTATACCCAAACAAAATTAGGGTTTATACCCAAACAAAATTTATAAGAAAAAGAAAGATATAAACAAGAAAAAAAGCACTTTCTTCTAAAGTGAAACTTTATTAGTAACACAGTCTCAAATAGTGAACATTACTCCAAATTACCACGTGGTTAAATTCTCCCTCCTCAAATTACAAATTGCAACACAAAACTTTCACAAAGAAAATGTCTTCAAGCAATGCCATCAATCTCACTCGTTCCTCTAACAATTCCTTCCTCCAACTCATCGCATCCTCACTTCAGAGCCTCTAAGGCACTACCCATCTCCAAATTTCTTCAATTTAAGACTCCATTTCCTACTATTGAACATCCATTTTCCTTACTTATTCGCCATCATCTGACATTTGTCTGTAGATTTAGCTATTCGAATGGAGAAAGTGAAGGTAACCCAGTTGCTAGAATCACCCAAAATGATGCATTTTCTATTCTCTACTCAATGGAAGAGTCTGGTGTTTCACCTGATCACAACACTTACGCTTACCTCTTAGATTGCTGTTTGAGTTCTGGATCGTTAGTAGACGCTAAAAGGATTCATGCAAGGATTCTGAAGGTGGGTTTTGGAAAAGATAGCACCTTGTGCAACAAGCTTATAGATTTCTACTTGGGTTTCGGGGATTTTCTTGATGCGATCAACGTGTTTGAAGAAATGTCTCATAGAACAGTTTCTTCATGGACCAGTATCATTTCTGGGTTTCTCGAAAGAAATGAACGTCATCAAGTGTTGGCCATTTTCCCAAAAATGTTGAGGGAGTGTAGGGATCCTAATCCTGTCGCTTTCGCGAGTGCTTTGAGAGCGTGTAGTGGAAATAATGTGTATTGGCATCTGGTTCAACAAATTCATGCGAAGATATTCCGGCATGGGTTTGTTGGTGATCCTATTGTTGGCAACCCATTGATTGACTTATATTCAAAGAATGAATGTATAGACTCGGCAATGCTTGTCTTCGAGGAGTTGTTTTCTAAGGATAATGTTTCATGGGTTGCAATGGTGTCTGGATTTTCTCAGAATGGTCTTGGAGAAGAATCACTAAATGTCTACTATTTCATGGGTTGCAATGGTGTCTGGATTTTCTCAGAATGGTCTTGGAGAAGAATCACTAAATGTCTACTGTCAAATGCATCAATCTGGGATTCGGATTTTCTCAGAATGGTCTTGGAGAAGAATCACTAAATGTCTACTGTCAAATGCATCAATCTGGGATTCTTCCGACTCCGTATGTTTTGTCTAGTGTTTTAAGTGCTTGTGCAAAGTGTGAGTTATTTGAGAATGGGAAGCAAATCCATGCTCAAGTGCACAAGTGGGGATTTTACTCGGAAACATTTGTAGGCAATGCACTTATTAGCTTGTATTCACGCTGTGGAGCTCTTCACTTGGCACATAGAGTCTTTACTGAAATGCCACGACATGATGGAGTGACATATAACTCAATGATCTCAGGGCTCGCACAACATGGAAATAGTGAAAGTGCTCTGAAGATTTTCGAAGAGATGCAACATTCCAGCTTCAAACTAGACTCTGTGACTATTTCAAGTCTTTTGAGCGCATGTGCTGCAATTGGAGATATTGAGAAAGGCAAGCAGCTTCATTCTTATGTGTTAAAGGCAGGGTTGTCTTCTCACTACATAATTGAAGGATCGATTCTTGACCTCTATGTAAAGTGTGCAGATGTTGAAACCGCGCGCAATTTTTTCAACACAACAGATAAAGAAAATGTTGTTCTGTGGAATGTGATGCTTGTGGCTTATGGTCAGGCGGGTAATTTGACAGAGTCCTTCGATCTATTCTACCAAATGCAAGTCAAAGGCTTGGAACCGAACCAGTATACATATCCAAGTATACTGAGGACATGCACTTATTTGGGAGAACTTGATCTTGGAGAACAGATTCATACATTAGCAATAAAGACCCGTTTCAATACAAATGTTTATGTTAGTAGTGTGCTAATAGATATGTACTCGAAATGTGGAAGGTTGAGCAGTGCAAAGCAAATCCTTGAGAGAATCACAGAGAAAGATGTCGTCTCCTGGACTGCAATGATTGCTGGCTATGCTCAGCATGAATTTTATATTGAAGCTCTCAAAACATTTGGAGAAATGTTAGCTCACGGGATTCAATCAGATAATATTGGATTGGCAAGTGCAATTAGCGCTTGCGCTGGAATAAAGGCAATTAAGCAAGGAGCGCAGATTCATGCTCAAGCTTGTGTTTCTGGTTATGCGTCGGATAACTCAATTGGAAACTCACTCATCAATCTTTATGCTAGGTGCGGTAAGATTTCAGAAGCATATTCTGCATTTCAGACTGTTGAGCCTGAGGATGAGATATCATGGAATGGACTGATATCAGGATTTGCACAAAGTGGGCATTGTGAAGAAGCTCTTAAAGTGTTTGTGGACATGGACCGTACAGGTATCAAAGCAAATTTATTTACATTTGGGTCTGCAGTCAGTGCTTCTGGTAATATGGCTGATATAAAACAAGGGAAGCAAATCCATGCGAAAATGATAAAAACTGGTTATGACTCTGATATAGAGGCTGGTAATGTTCTAGTTTCACTCTATTCAAAATGTGGAAGCTTAGACGATGCCAAAATGGAGTTTTATGGGATGACTGAAAGAAATGCGATCTCATGGAATGCTATGATCACTGGTTACTCACAGCATGGGCATGGCTATAGAGCCCTCGAGCTTTTTGAGCAGATGAAGAAGAAAGGGTTCAAGCCAAATCATGTAACATTTGTGGGTGTTTTAGCTGCCTGTAGTCATGTGGGTTTAGTGAATAGAGGCCTTGACTACTTCAATTCTATGAGTGAGGAGCATGGACTAATTCCAAAACCAGAACACTATGTTTGTATTGTGGATATTCTCGGTCGAGCTGGACTGTTGAATCGTGCAAAAGAATTTATAGAGGATATGCCAGTTGATCCAGATGCCATGATATGGAGAACTCTTCTCAGTGCTTGTACAGTTCATAAAAATGTTGAAATTGGGGAATTTGCAGCTCAACATCTTCTGGAGTTGGAGCCCCACGATTCAGCTACTTATGTTCTGTTATCAAACATATATGCAATTAACAAAAAATGGGATTGTAGAGATCAGATAAGGAAGATGATGAAGGATAAAAAAGTGAAGAAAGAGCCAGGGCGTAGCTGGATTGAGGTGAAGAACGAAGTACATGCATTTTATGTTGGCGACAGATTACATCCTCTAGCTGATAAGATTTATGAATACTTGGAAGATTTAAATAATAGAGCTGTTGAAATTGGGTATAAACAAGATAAGTATCGTCTACTTAATGAACTTGAGCAAGAGCAGAAAGACCCAAGTGCGTATATTCACAGCGAGAAGATTGCTGTTAGTTTTGGGCTAATTAGCTTGTCTTCAGAAGTACCCATCCGTGTAATTAAAAACCTTCGCATATGTAATGATTGCCATACATGGATGAAGCTTGTCTCAAACATTAAGGGAAGAGTCATCATAGTGCGGGATGTTTATCGGTTCCATCATTTTGAAGAGGGCAGCTGTTCATGCGGAGATTACTGGTGAAAGAAAATAATTGGACAGAAATGGTAATGAAAATATTTTTAAACTGTTTTATTTTTTTTAATCATAGAAAGTTATTTTATTTGTTACATATTAAAATTAGTACAGCTCTGTAAGTTATATTGAGTTACCAACAAGATATTCTTTATGATATTCTGATATCAGACATTCTTCTGTACAGCCAAATTCAAAAAGTTGGACTTGGGTCTAAATTATTTAATCTGAAGAACCTAGTTCTCTTGACATGGCTTTTAGATTTTAACAATATTATTTACAGGCTAAACTACTTTTAAGTTTCAGCATTCGATTCATACTCTAAAACATTCGATGAAATATACATATTCAAAAGATGGGAAAGGTCATCAAAAGCCAGGTTTGATACCGGCTTCACTGGTTTGGCAGCTGACCTTACTTCAGATTACAGCTTTCAGATTTGGCTATTAGGGGATTGTATAAAGATAATATTTGACCGGTGCATGAGATGTTAATCTGCAAAGGTCTCGAGATGATTCTCTGCAAGCATGAATGCAGTGAAGGACTCCATCCACGTAAGAACTATTTATAGCTCATTAGTATTGCATTTTTTCTGTTCTTTTCATATCGATCTCAATTATTTCACATTTGTTGCCGGTTAGATTTTTAAAACTGCTTTGGCGCTGAAAAAACCAACATTATATGGAGCTAATGGTGTTCAAGTTTTTCATCAAGCTTGGGATAACCTGTGTTCTAAGTTTCCAGGCTAATATTTCACAATATTGTTTAGTAAGTATCCTCTTCTCCTTCAAAACTATAATTCACAAGCTAATAATTTCTCCGGTTATCTCGAATAAAGACGAATGTAACCACCTGGATTAGCTTGCAAGTTAAAGTTTAGTAGGAACTGTACGGACAAACTGGATCAGGTTTATAAAAACTTTGTAGAAACAGAATCAGGTTTAGAGACACAGAACAAAACCAAGATTGAACTATCCATAAATTTTTTTGACTCCCAAATCTTAGTATTACATCACATACCACTCTACATGACTCTAATCTCAATCAACACAAAATCATCCAAAGTTATATGGAGTGATTTTTATCAGACGATTCCAGCGTTCGCTCTTATCACCTGACCATTAACCCATTCTGCTTCATCTGTACAAAGAAACCCAACAACAGGTGCTACATCCTTAGTCTCCCCAAGCCTCTCCATCGGATTTAAAGATGCCCTTTTAATATCCTCTTCACTCTTCCCCTCAAAGAACAAGTCAGTAGCAATCGCTCCAGGCGCCACACAATTCGCAGTGATCCTAGTTCCTTTGAGCTCCTTTGCCAGTATCTTCACCATTGTTTCCACTGCTGCCTTTGAGGCTGCATACGTACCAAACTTTGGCACGAGCGTGCCAACCACAGATGTGGTTATCATAATAATTCGCCCACCACCACCACCACGAACGATTCTATTAGCAGCTTCTTGACAACAAAGAAAGGCACCACGAGCATTGACGTTGAAGATGGCATCAAAGTCTTCGACAGGTATTGCGGAGATGGTCGAGTATTTAGAATCAATAACGCCTGCAGAGTTGACGAAGATGTGCACTGGAGAATTGAATGCTTGTTCTGCGCGGTCGAACAGGGTTTTGGGGCCGGAGGGATCGGATGTGTCGGCCTGGACCGCGATGGCTCGAAGATTGGTTGAATTTGAATTGAGCTGGGATGCGAGGAGATCTGCTTGGGTCGAGTTGGTGGCATAGTTGATGACGAGGTTGGCGCCGAGGGAGGAGAGATGGATGGCGATGGCACGGCCGATGCCGCGGGATGAGCCCGTCACGATTGCCACTCGGTCACTGAGAGGAAGAGCCATTAAGGATTTTGTGTTAGAATTTGGGAAAAGAGAGAGAGGGTCGGGAGGGAAGTTGGGGCTGGCTGCTCTTGGAAAGAAAGTAAGTTGTTAACGGTAGAATATCAATAAAAGGAAAATTCTAATGAAAATAGAACGTCTAATAAAGTAAGATTCAAAAGAGAAAGATACAATATTAACTAATAGATTGCTCTGAAGACCTTTCAGCAAATAATATAATATCTTCTAGTAGTTTGGATTGAAGGTAAAGGTTGCTTCACAGAAGTGAGAGTCATGTTCAAATGAATGCTGCAGGATTAGCCGTCAGCCCTGATGTCAGCAGCTTGAAAAAGTGGCCAATGAAAATTTGACACTTATCCCTAATACTTTGTTCATTTTTTTGTGGTGTTCAAAAGCTTTTAGGGGCTGATTTAGATTGATTAATGCAGTATTTATCAATTCTCCTCTTTTTTTTTTTATTTTCCCCAACGGTCTATTTGGAACAGTGCAAGTTGGAGGAGTTACATAAGGAGATCAAATCCTTCCTATTTCCTTGCATGAAAGGGTATAGGTGGTGTCTAAGCTACTAGGAGAGTAATCCCCTTTTTTATTATTTGTTAAGTGGTTTGATTTTCATATTTTAGTAACCCCCCAAGAACTTGTCATATCGATAGTCTTCACTGGAGACTTTATGATGGTTGGTCAGTAATTTTGCTTTGTTCAACTTGAAAAGGGTTGGCTTCTTATAGACTGTAGTCTGTAAAATTTGGTCTACCTTCTCTCTTTCGAGAACTCAATTTCCTTAATCTCGTCTCCTACATTATCATTTAAAGAATTGGATAAAAAAGTGAAGAAAGTTTGAGAAATTAATTGTTAGATTTTCTTGTACGTTCTGTTGTACAAATGCATACCTGTTATTAATACACATATTGATCCTTCATATAAGGTATCTAGTGGTGATTTAAGTCACTAATTACATAATCATGCCTGGTGAAACCATATGCTGACTGTAAATAGTGCATCAAGTGATTCAAGACACCAACCAATGCATTGACTCTGATAGATAATCACGACCCTTAGTTCTTAGTAAAATACTAAATACATGGTTGGCTGCAATTACTGACCTCATATAACTTCTTGAATGGTGACTTTATCAGAGATCAATGACTAAGATGATCGTTCCTATAGGTAATTGAATTGAACTTCTCCTCCTGTTCATCTACCAGTTCATCTACTTGCTGCATTGAATTTGACTAGATCGGTTCATCTTCTTGCTCCATATGAAGAACTCTCTCCGGTTCTTATAAGCTAATCGCGAACAGGTGAAATCGCGAAAAGATTCTAGAATAATAAAAAGCGTTTCCTGGTCTTCAACATTGCCGTCATTGGTTGCCAACTGAACTTCAAAACATCGACATCATGGAGAGTTTTAGTTATATAGACTTGTGCTGTTCTTTCACATTGCTATAAACCGCTCATATTTATCGCCAATTAGCTTTTCCATATTGTTTTCGGAGATCTTGTGGACTGGGAGAACCAAGTTTCTACAGGGCTAGATGATATTCAAGCTTGCAGGCAATCTTTGGAACGATTATGTTAAGTACCATCATTCATTTTTACTTACAGGGTATTGTCTAGAGATACATGATTGTCCTTAGTAGCTGTAGTTTTTAACCTCAAAATTTCTCAGATCATCTGGAATAAGCACAAAATGTTTGACACTTTTTCCCTGTATCTTGAAAATGTTGCCTGGTCAATTGGTTAGCATGTATAATTTGAGAAAGAATATGATTTGTAATCATATCTAAACATGAGAGGGAACAAAACTATGATTGAGAATAAATCCTATATATGTTCATGAACACATGTTTTTGGATCGCAACAATTTGCAAACTTGCAGCTAACTGTAAATTGGTTCTGGCTGAAAAAAAAAGCCCAACATCAATCCATCAATAAAAGATTTAGAATTCCAAAGTTCAGTATTACATCACACGCTCAATTCCTCCACAAAGCAAGACAAGTGAAAGAGTTCCGTACTTTATCAAACGTACCCACCATTAGCCCTAATCACCTGTCCATTAACCCATTCTGCTTCATCCTTACAAAGAAACCCAACCACCGGCGCCACATCCTTGGGCTCCCCAATTCTCCCCATTGGATTCATATCCAGCAACCTCTTGATGTCCGCTTCGGTTTTACCCTCAAAGAACAGCTCAGTCGCGGTCGGTCCAGGCGCCACGCAGTTCACGGTAATCTTCGTTCCCCCGAGCTCCTTCGCCAGTATCTTCACCAGCGTCTCCACCGCCGCCTTCGACGCTGTATACGCACCATACTTCGTCAATAGCGCTCCGACCAAAGAAGTCGATATCATGACAATCCGCCCTCCGCCGCCACGAACGATTCTGTTAGCGGCTTCTTGGCAACACAGGAAGGCGCCACGAGCATTGACGCTGAAAATGGCGTCGAAGTCTTCTACGGGCATGGAAGAGATAGTCGAGTATTTGGAGTCAACGATGCCCGCAGAGTTGACGAAGATGTGCACGGGAGAACCGAATGCTTCCTCCGCACGGTCGAACAGGGTTTTGGGTCCTGATGGATGTGATACGTCGGCTTGGACCGCGATGGCTCGAAGGTCGGCTGAATTCGAGTTGAGTTCGGACGCGAGGAGATCCGCTTGAGTCGAGTTGGTGGCGTAGTTGATGACGAGGTTCGCGCCGAGGGAGGAGAGGTGGGCGGCGATGGCTCGGCCGATGCCACGGGAAGAGCCCGTGACGATTGCGACTTTGCCGGCGAGGGGAAGGGCCATTGTGAATTTTGTTTGGATTTGAGAAAAATAGAGAACGGAGAGCGTTCGAGGAGAATTTGGGATTGGTTTGGGTTGGAAGGTGAAGGTTATATACGACAGAAGATGATGGTCATGTTGAAATATCCATAATAATTGTTGCAGTTTTTGCCGTCAGGGCTGCCGTCAGGAGCTTGATAAAATAGCCAACGGTAAAGCTAAGTAGTCAACCATGGTGGCTGCTAGGAAAAAACTGTCCCTGAATCTACTTTATTAGCTTTTGTGCTGCGCTGCTCAAAATTTCTAGCGGTTGCTTTCCACTGATTAATTTTAGGGGAATATAATCCCTTTCTTTTTTAAATAGTTGATAAGAAGTTTGATTTGATTTTTGTAAACCATAGAAAATGACTACTTACCAACCACCACGGATCCACCCCCCTTACTGTAGCAATATTGCAGTAACAGTACAAAACTATCACAAAATCACACATATATAACCCCCTTAGCCTTAAGTTGTGATCGTCCCAATAATAAGCAAAAGAGAGAGAAAAAGGGAGTCTCTCGTTATAAAGCAAGAAGATTGTAACTAATAAAAAAAAAGAGTCTCTACAAAAATGACACAAGAGGTTGCCTAAATGTCATTTTATCATGTTTACAAAAATCAAATCAAACTTCTTATCAACTATTTAATAAAGAAAAGGATTATTCCCCTACCGTTTGGCAAAGGGTTAAGTGAGGGGTTAAGGAGACTTAACCTATTCTTAACCTGCCAAACACAAAAAATCTATACAATGGTTAAAGTGAGTTAACCCTCTATAATTTGCCAAACATAAAAAATATAGAAGAGTTAAGCTAAACCCTCTAGATGGATTAAAATGAGTTAACCCCTCAAAATAAGGGGTTTACTAATACTCCTATTTAGAAGGATTAAGAGTTAACCCTTCTATTTATAATGAAATAGTCAAAATCATTGTTATTTCCAAACAATAAAACTGATCACATTGACTAAAATAAAACTTATTTAACGGGGTTAATAATTTAGTCTTTCAGATTATCGAATGAGCTAAGTATATTAATCCTTCTATTTAACCCCTCTTCCTTAACCATTTGCCAAACGGGGCCCTAAAGTTAATCTGCTCTTCTAAGAATGTAAATAAATATTGTTCACCTGACATTAAATTGTTGTGGAGCCCGCTTATTTCTACTGACAGATTTCCCTTACAACGAAAAAAGGAAAAAAACAAAGCAGCATATTTTGAAATTCAAATCCCCTCTTTTTTTTGAGCATTGCTTTTTGGCTCGCGCTTTAACGTGCGAGCCAACTCGCACAGAAACAGGGGGTGGGACCCATTGG